ATAGCTTTCGAACTGGTTTTTTGATATTCGCGAGTCATCAGCTACTTAAAATTAATAAGATGGTCTGGAAACATGACAGTAAAGAATCAAAATAACTGAGGAAATGAAAGGACCTGAGGTCGGACAGTTGTTGGCACTTTCTAGAGCAGTCTGACTTGGTTTATTCCTGTCTTTCATCTATTAAAACTAGAAATTTCCAGAATTTGAAAAGGTACTATACATATTTGAATTGTGCATTGGAGCAAGCTACCTCTGCTTCACCCCAAACAGGCTCTCAGCAGTAGCATATACTATTGGCACTGTACAAGTCCCATAAAGGATATGATTGGGAGAGAAACAAAATAAAACAGGAACAGTGGATCCATCTTGTGTGTCCTTTTTTCACATTATGGCTATTAAAGGTTAAGGTAGCAAAAAGTATCTCTGAAACTTGAGAAAGGCAGACAGGTAAGCAAAACACTGAGCAAAGTATGAGCAACCAAAAATATAGGAATACAGAAACAAGAAATAGAATAGAGACTGCTCAGATCAAGATATTTGAATATTTTTTTGAAATCCAGTATGACTGAAAAACACAAATTAGACAGCTTTCTTTCCTTTAATAATACCCTCAATTCTGCTTTCTCTACCAAACCTTGCAAAATAACAAATATTTCTGTGGAACTATGGAAGATAAAGTAAGAGTAAGAAAATATTTTAAAGCAATACTAGTAGGAGAGTTTGCTGCAGTTCCTCTTGAAAAGCTGCAGTTTGTCAGAGTTGAAAGCTTGGAGTAGATCGGTGGCTCCCAAACTGTGTGCCATGGCACCTGGGGGCACTACAGCAAATTCACAGGGCTGCTGTGGGATATTTTACTACTTAAATGGAATAGTCCTAATTTTTCTAGGGTGCTGTGGCACATGTGTGGGAACTGCTTGGGGCGTCATGAGAAAATTACACTAAGGGTGCTCCGAAGCAAGGAAGTTTGGGAATCTCTGGGCTAGATATTAGTTCCATCATACAATAATATACTCCATATTAATTCAGAAGTTGCTGCTGCTGTTGTAGACCATTAACCGTGTAACAGTAGATGGTTGCTGAAAATGGTAATGCAAAATGTTGACTGTACAGGTAGTCCTCGACTTACAACTATTTGAAGTTACGACAGTGCTGAAAAAGGTGACTTACGACCAGTCCTCACACTTACATCTGTTACAGCATCCCTGTTGTCACGTGATCAAAATTCAGGCACTTGGCAACCAGCATGTATGTATGATGTAGCATCCCCAGGGTCACAAGATAGCCATTTGTGACCTTCCCAGCTGGCTTCCAACAAGCAAAATCAACAGGGAACTGCATGATTCACTTAATGACTGTGGTGATTCGCTTAATGACCGCTGCAAAAATGTCATAAAATTGGGTGTGGTCACATGCCTTGCTTAACAATTGCACCACTTAATGACAAATTTTCTGGTCCCTATTGTGGTCGTAAGTTAAGGACTAGTTGTAGTTATTTTTGTGATCTGCTTGAAGACCATTAAATGAGTTTAAGTAATGTTTTAAAAGAATCTTCTATAAGTTTTGTGGTTCCAGACTGTAGTCCACTGTTCACAATTGTTGTTATATACAGTAAATATCCTGTGGTCACTTGCAAATGTTGCTGAACTTAGCAGGACTTACTGGTAGGTAATGCAAAGATTTTAGATACCTGGTGCTCTTAAGTTTGTAAATTTTGAGGGAGATTATATAGTAGAAAACAGAATGCAATAATTAATACAAATAACAAATGTGGCAACTTCCTTGATATGGCAAACCAAATCCTTATTACATTTATAGACACTGAGAGTCTTTTCAAGGACAGGACTTCAGTTGTGATTGTTTCAGTGCTTCAGCTTTTAAGATGATTTTCAGTCTCCCAACTTGAAGTTTCAATAAAGTTAGATAATTCTACTTATCATTCTCTACTAGTATAATAGGGTGAATTGGGATATTTAGACTTACATTATTAATTGAAAATACTCCTGCTTCCTGCAATTAACTGCTGAGTCAGCAAAGCTGTACATGTTTAAATGGTATTTAAATAAAAGTGTGTGGGTGGTGTGTCCATTATATGATATATATACTTTTTTATAAAAAGGCCATGCTAAGCTTACATTGTCTTATGTTTCCTTCCAGCAATTCCAGTTAAGAGCTCCAGGCTGCCATTGTTCTCTGATGCCATGCCAGCACCAGCTCAGTTACTGCTCCCATTAATTCGCAACTGTGAGATTAGCAGGATATACAGCACTGCATGTTACTGTCACCACAAGCATCTGTGTTGCTTGTCCCCTCCCTTAACTCACAAACACTTGAGGTATGTTCCTCAGAAGAAGCTTGCAACGCTCTGCAGACCAAAGGAAAACTTCAGTCAATTTATTCAGGCAAGAAGCTATGTCTCCACACCACAGCGATTTTACCTCACCCCTCCACAAGTCAACAGCATCCTCAAAGCAAATGAATACAGTTTCAAAGTGCCAGAGTTTGATGGCAAAAATGTAAGTTCTGTTCTTGGCTTTGACAGCAACCAGCTGCCTGCCAATGCTCCCATAGAGGATCGAAGAAGTGCAGCAACTTGCTTACAGACAAGAGGGATGCTCCTGGGTGTCTTTGATGGCCATGCAGGATGTGCCTGTGCCCAGGCTGTCAGCGAGAGACTGTTTTATTATATAGCTGTTTCTTTGTTGCCCCACGAAACTTTACTTGAAATAGAAAATGCTGTTGAGAGTGGTAGAGCCCTGTTGCCCATCTTACAGTGGCATAAACACCCCAATGACTATTTCAGTAAAGAAGCCTCCAAATTATATTTTAACAGCTTACGAACTTACTGGCAAGAACTCATAGATCTTAACACTGGAGAAACAATGGATGTCAAAGAAGCTTTAATTAATGCATTTAAGAGGCTTGACAATGACATTTCTTTGGAAGCTCAAGTTGGAGATCCAAATTCTTTCCTTAACTATTTAGTATTGCGTGTAGCTTTCTCTGGTGCAACTGCCTGCGTGGCTCATGTAGATGGTGTTGATTTGCATGTTGCCAATACTGGTGATAGTAGGGCCATGCTTGGTGTCCAAGAAGAGGATGGCTCTTGGACTGCTGTTGCTTTGTCTCATGATCATAATTCACACAATGAAAGTGAAATTGAACGACTTAAAATGGAACATCCAAAGTCCGAAGAAAAGAGTGTTGTCAAACAAGATCGGCTGTTAGGCTTACTGATGCCTTTCCGAGCTTTCGGTGATGTCAAATTTAAGTGGAGCATTGACCTTCAGAAGAGAGTAATAGAATCAGGCCCAGATCAACTCAATGATAATGAATATACAAAATTCATTCCACCAAACTATCACACTCCTCCATATCTCACAGCTGAGCCAGAAGTGATACACCACAAATTAAGACCTCAGGACAAATTCCTGATACTGGCAACAGATGGTTTGTGGGAAACAATGCACAGGCAGGATGTAGTTAGAATTGTAGGTGAGTATCTAACAGGCGTTCATCATCAGGAGCCAATAGCTGTTGGCGGCTACAAGGTAACATTGGGACAGATGCATGGTCTTCTTACTGAAAGGAGAGCCCGTGTCTCTTCAGCCTTTGAAGATCAGAATGCTGCTACTCATTTGATACGTCATGCCGTAGGAAATAATGAGTTTGGCACTGTTGATCATGAACGGCTCTCTAAGATGCTCAGTCTTCCAGAAGAGTTGGCTCGGATGTACAGGGATGATATCACAATTATAGTGGTACAGTTCAATTCCCATGTTGTTGGTGCATGTCAAAATGAAGAATTCTGAATTGAAATGGCAAACAAAACTCTTCACAGAACAAAATGAAAAATGACCAGTATTGAGTCCATCATAGTAAAATACTTGATTATCATCTGGTCATTGGAATTATAACTGGAGCAAATATTATTTGGAAAAACCTTGGACAATGGTCAAAATGTTACTTATCTAATTTAAACTACCAGGAGAACAAAACAACTTTGCACTAATTAGTCTGTTTGCTTGAACAATGGCTTGTAATTTGGGATTACTTGGTGGAAGTAAATCTTCATATGCATCAGTGCAATGTCCTGCAGGGCAAAAATCTTGCATTTATCACATGTAAATTCCAATGTAGGTATGTATCTAAGTTGCTTTAGAAAACTTTGAGTGATAACCTGGTTATAAAACTGAACTTGAATAGGGCTGTTGACTTTTATATCTACAAAGTAGCTATTGTGTCTTTCCTTCAGGAAAGGAAGGGGATGTATTTTTTAACAGTTGGTAAATGTCTTGATATCATATCTAATTATCTTCCTCTTGGGTAGTGATATATCTGTTGAAACACATGCCTGGAATATTGATGTTAAAAGTCCAAGTTAAAGCCATAAGTATCTTAAGCCTATCCAGAAGTATTAGAAATTGAATACCATTTTGCATCAAATAGCTAATATATTTTGCACAGTTCAAAGGGCAATAAATAATTAGAAGGTTAGATAACTAAATGGAAAAGTGCAAAAAACAAAAAAAAACCCTCTTTGGCTTATGTTATAAACCTGAAATTCTACTTTTGTGAACCTTGACCTAATATTCAGTCAGACTGGCTTGTAAAAACATCACAGTCCTGCCTTGTACCAAACCTATTTCTACTTGTCTTGGTTTTAGTGTTGTATTTAGACAAACAGTAGTGACTTAGTAAATTTGTGGAGTCACATGTGTTATAGTCTGATTTAAAGTTTGGTCTTATGGACATGTTAAGTATTACAAAGCAAAAAATGTACCTGTATTGTTTGGTTGCCATGGTCACTATTGAAGAAAACCATGTAATAAGAATTGTAAATAGAGATAGAGGTGGAGAAAAGCCTGCATGCTATATACTTAATTATACTGGCAGTGCAGCATCAACTCCTTTCAAAGCGTCACTACTGGTGTGTAAACTTGCTTACATCCCAGATCACTTCCTAATGTTGCATGAGTGATCTCTGAACTTTATTTATACCATATAATGCACTTATTTGGAAATGGCAGGTAAATTTAAGAAGTTTTCTTAGCAATTACATTTTGAATACTTTTAATATCAAACTCAAGGCTTCATGAATGTCACTTGCCTTATAATATCAGACTAGTTTTTATCACTTCATAAACAGATAGTATAACTATAATTGAACTGTTGCTTAATGTTTTCCTCAAGTTCATATCTACATCTGAGGCATTTGCAAATGAACATTAATATCCTATGTGCTTCTCTGTTTAAATATCTTATATATATTCCACTTGAACTCCATTTGACTTTCCATCACATATGTGATTGTTTAAGCTGACACATTTTAGAAAATGTCAGTGTTCTTCACAGCGTAGATATATAAAAGGAAAAAAGAACAATCAGATAGCTCTGTCCTTAGTACACCAGTAATATGTATATGATCATTTCCAGCACTTAGGTTTTGTACCACTAAAGCTTTCTTTGCTGTTTACTATACACTAAGAGTCATATTTGTCTAAAAAGTTAAAGTATTGAAATGCAAAGACATGTGTAATTGCACCACTTTCCTAAATGGATATTCTTTATAAATTTATCTGGGTGGAAAATTCCTATCTGCAGCCTTAAAAAGGGGGATGGCCTTCTCTTTCTGTGTCCAAAGAAGTAACTATTCTAGCTTTTGTTTATATTTTTCCATCTAATTTTGTTATTTATTGTATTAATGACAAAACTGAGCAGTTTAAATTGCCACCTTTATAAATGGAATAGAATTGATAAATCCATATTTTATGTTACATTATTCATTGCCTTAGCTATTTGTGACATCTACCATACATGTAAATGTATCTTTTTGGCTTGGTTCTAGTCATAATGAAAGGTATTGAGTCCTGGCCCTATATGTTCGGCATTTTGGGGAGAGGTGGTGATCTTGCACATACAGATATGAACATAGGAATTAACTTTTAAGTTCTCAAAATATGTTTGCATTGAAAGGGGGAAAATGGCTTTTTCAAAACCACATGATACAATCCAAGAACAAATAACTTTTTAGTAGATTTCAATAAAAACAATTACTGGAAACATCCATTAGAGTCTTTAAAAAGTTGTCTTGCCTTTACTTTCCTGAATTCAAATTTCAGATTTTATTGTTGGACTGTATTTTTAATGGTAAAGTCACTGATGCATAAAAATGTTTGCAGTGAAACTGCCTTTCTCAAGAGAGCTTGCAACTGGAACAAATAAATGAGTAGCGCCAGACTGAATGGATCACAATATTTAAATATATTCTATTTCACAAATGTGATTTTTTATTAGCTTCCAGCTATTAGAAATATCCATTCGTGCCTTCAATTTTTAGAGCAAACAGAAGAGCTCAGTTGAATATAGGCATTTATATCATCCTCCAGTTTTTCTCATCTGTTTTAGCATATGCTTTTAGCTGATCCATTATAACTATATAGTGCTAGACGATTTAAACCCCTTTACTTTCCAATCAATGAGTAACTAATATCTTTTCAGTGAAGTGAGTTAGTTTCATCTGTTGTCCTTTGTCATTAGTATATAAAAAGAAAAATCAAGCAGCTGGTTCTTGTTAAAATTTGTTTGGGAAAGAAAACTCAGGCAATCTTTAAAACCTATCATCCTCTTGTTCCAAATACTGATGTTAAGAACATTTTTCTTAAACTGTTAGAAATGAGGAAACTAGGCTTTTGGATCAGCTCTAGTATAGAGTAACCTTACAAGGTAGGCAAGGTTTTGAGAAAGTAACTGTGTAAGACAAGGGAAAAGAAAACAGTGTAATTCTTAAGAGCTTAGGCAGCCTTGCCAGTGTTTTTTCTTGACCACTCTAAAAGAAAAATGCATTCCATTTCAAGCAAAGGCTCATAACTGACATGTTTATGTCTATTTTTACTCCATTGAAGTTGAACCTTAGATTGACCTGAATTAAAATGTCTTGACCAGAGTGCAGGGAATGTCTTGCATAATCCTGTTTGTTGTATAGTTTAATGTGAGTGTATTTTTTTCAGCTAATTTTCCAGACAGGAATTGGGACTTGAGTTATACATCAATGCATTTTCTAAAAAATCTAAACACCAAAACACCAGGAGATATTTGATTTTGTTGATATATCAGTTTAATACCTTTCAGTGTGACTGCCAATGAAGTCTTACAGTTCAAAATGCTAAAAAAAAAAAAAATTCCAAAAGTTTCACATGGAAAAAGTAAAGCATGCTAAAGCATGTAAGATGTGCTATATGTAATCTTTATCAGAAGAAAATTATTTTATGTTCAGAGGGACTTCTGTAGTAACTGTTTAGGGTAGTAGTTGTTCAAACTATACTGAGACTTTTTTTAGTTGAGTTCCTAGGATCTGTGCCAGGAATTATTGAGGCCATAAAATTATGTAATTACCATTTAAACTAAAATATGCTCAAAGCTATTTCTTTCATAAGCAACATCAAACGTAAATTATGAAGTGAATAGTGGTATTCTGATGGGTGCATGTGTGTCTTGTGTTGGAATGTACCATCTTGATGGCAAGAGTATTGAATGTTTTTATAGTAAAATATCTGTTAGCAGAAAATACTCCTGAGATTAAAGGAACAGAACATATGTAGTACTCTTGCTTCTAAGTATGAAATGAAGAATGATAGGGTGGGACAGTTGCTTTTTATTAACCCTTTAGTGATTTCTAGGAGTTCCCTAGGTCCTTGTCAGGTGTCTTACTGCTCACTGTTTTTCAGTGGCTGTAAATTGGATAGGCAATTTTGAACTGCTCTGTAAAAATCAGTCTCCTTTTGTGTTTCTTTCTGCCAATAGTTTCTTTCTGCCTCTTTTGATTTGGTTGCCAGAAATTGTATTGGACAAATTAATCTCTAGAAATCTAGTTTGATCTGTCATTTATAAAAATTGAAAGCTTGGAATTGTTATGATATAGTATGGGATAAGAGAGGCAACATTTTATTTACAGTATTATTCATTATTACCACTCTATAACAAAGTCTTCAGATGGTTTACGGTAAAAGTTAAATCCATACAAATATAAATGTTTCCACTTGTAATTTCTTATTGGTAAGATGTTATAGTGAATGAGGTGCTTGGAAGGCAGTTCAGAATGAAAGATCTTAATATTTTGTTAAACTATATTCTAAAACATTTGGAATCTTTCATTCTATGGAGAACTTTTTGATATGGATATATCAAGCTTGGGCACTTGTGAAAAAGGTGATATGTACTCATGGAAGAATGTTTGACTGTATGGAATCTATCACCACTCAGACTTTGTACCAAAGGAGAGGCAAGACAGGCAATATGTGCTAGGTTTAATTCATTGTTCAGAAATTGAATTAGAATGATGAAATTGAAGAAAATTATGTAACTTTGAGGAAAGTTACATACTTTTAATAGCTTGATATATATTTTTTCTTTAAATGGGTTTTTAAAATAAATGTTTAGAAATAGATATAATTTAGATGTGGGTTTGTATATTTAATTTTGTTGCTTTTTTAAAGGTTTATTGTCTGAGGGACTTGTACATACACACACGTTGTTTAGTATAGTTTTTTCTTTTTTTTTCTTCACTATATAGCTCTATATATAATAGGTTAGGTTTCTCTTTTAAAGTTTTATACAATATAGTTATGCTGCTGTTTTAGTATATATGTAACATTACAAAGTAATGGCTTTTAATGTTAGTTTAAGGAATACATACACATACACACTGTAATATGCATGGAATACATCAGAACGATATCAAATGAAAATTTATTTTGCCGACACCGATCAATCTCAATAATAAGTGTGTGTGTGTCAAATAAACAAAAGTAATAAACATTATACCAGAATAAAAGTATACCAGTGGTGCAAAGGAAATAAAAACTTTTTACTGAGATTGATAGTTGTGGGCAAAATAAATTGATTTTCATTTGATATTGCACTGATGTGTTCCACATATCTTACATGATACTTTTTTCTCTCAAAGCAGTGCATCTTTAAGGAAAAGTAGTGGCTGGTTCATTGGAATTTCCCTGTCTGGCTCTGCCTTCTGAAAGAAAAGCTTAACCTGAATTTCCCATTCTCCTCTAAACATGTGTTTAAAACTGTCCTTCAATCAGCCTAGAGAGAAAAAAAAGTTTACCCACAATTCAAATTGTTCTTCCCTTTCTATTGCATTTTGATTTGTATTGTACAAAACAGCTACAAATCTGTAGTGCTTTGAATAACTGATACTTTGCAATTGAAGTTACAAATTGGATTCTGTTCTGTCAACCATCATGTGACAAGCTTGGCCAGCTGGATATCAAGAATGGGAGCAGGAGGGGCAGGCTAGTAAGAACGGCTGGCCAGGTGCCTCTGCCAAAAGCTTTTCAAAAGGTCTATTTATGACTTGGATGTGGTCCTGACACTTCTGCATTCTCAATGTTTTGAGTTGTGTTCTAGCCATAGATAATGCTGCCAAAGCTTTGGAGGGCATTAGGGTACACTTGCACAATAAAGAGAATAGCCTCCCCTTTATATATGTCACTAGTATTTACAAATCAAACCATTTCAGATTAGACTGCAACTTCCCCATCTGAGAATGATTTGTAGTGATCTGACTACACCAAGATGTAATCTGGAATAAGGAGATTAGTGATTGTTTGAAAAGCCTACTTCTCTGCAGTTCCTGTCTGTGCCACTGCAGCTTCATTCACAATCCCTATCTTGGTTCTGTGAATGTGATAAGGCTGGGAAGCTATTCTCAGCTTTGCCCAATATCTGGCTCAGGACTTTAATAGACTAGGAGATGCCATGACAGTTAGATTTAGAAGACCACTCAACTTCCAAATGACTCTGAGTAGCTTACATAATTAAAAGAAAAAGGAATTTTAAAAACACATCTGCACCTTGACAAAACACACCCAAAAAAATTCACCAGGGGCCTAACCAACCTAATCCCAAACTCACGGGGGATTGGAACACTGTTGTATGGTGGGAGCCATGTGAATCTTCAGAGGAATGCTATTCAAAAGGGCAGGTGCCGCAACAGAAAAGATGTGTTTTTGGAGTCCCACTAGGTGCCATTGCTTGATAAAAGAGATCTGAAGTACTCCTACTCTGCCCAATCTTACTGGACAGGCAAAAACCACTGGAAACAGGTATCCCTCAAATAACCATACCCTGTGCCATGAAGGGTGACAACTAGCACTTTGAACTGCATTTGGAAGCAAACTGGCAACCAATGCAGCTTGTAGAGCATTGATGACACGGGTTTATTGAAGTACACCCAAAATGCCTGCACTACTACTAATTGGTCTTAAGTGGCATCCCCATGTGCACTGCAATAGTTCAGCCATGAGGGGACTAGAGTGTGAGTGACCGTCAGAAGGTCCTTCTAGGAATGGGTACAACCGGTGCGCAACATGCCCCTGTGGAAAGGCCCTCCAAGCCACTACTGCCACCTGCCCTTTGAGCAGTAACTGTGAGTCCAGGAAGACCTCCAAGTTACACACTAGTCTTGAGTGAGGAAGTACTACCCCATCCAAGATCAAAGTTGAACAATTCCTTGATCCAGAGAACCTGAACAGCCATGGCCATTCGCTCTTGTCAGGATTGAGCCTGAGTCTCTTCCTCCCCATCCAGATCTGAACAGCTTCCAGACCCTGGGTCAAGACATTGACAGTATCACCTGGACAGCCTGCAGTTAAGATGTATGACTAGGTGTCATCAACATACTGATGATACCAGACCCTGAATTGATGGGTCATCTCACCCTCATTTAACAGGGATGAAAGTGTTGAGCCCTGATGCCTCTCACAAATGAGGGGCTATGGACACAACTGCCTCTACTCCCCTGTTAACACCAACTGGAACTGGCCAGAGTGCATGAGGGGAACCATGGCAATAATGTGCCTCCCAATCCTTGCACTTGATTGAAAAGGATATTGTGGTTTGCAGTATTGAAAGCCACTGAGAGATCAAGGAGCACAAGGATTGATATTCGCCCATCCTAGCTCTGCCAAAGGTCATCAACAAGCATGACCAATGCAAGGTCCATACAGTACCCTGGCCTGAAACCTGACTTGAATGGGTCCAGATAATCTCTT